TAACTTTTTATGTAATTATGTCTATGATATACTACTGCAGTAAATTAAATACAGTGAGACCTTGGTTTGCGAGCATAATATGGAAATGTGCTTGCAATCCAAAGCACTCGTATATCAAAGCGAATTTTCCCATTAGAAATAATGTAAACTCAGATGATTCTTTCCACAACTCAAAAATATTAATATAAAAATGATTAATACAAAATATAAAGTAAAAATACATAAAACAAATTAACCTGCACTTTACCTTTGAAAAGAATTGTGGATGGTGTGAGAGAGAGGAGAAGAGGAGAGTTATTTTGAAGGACGACGTTCACTATAATTAACAGAATCACTGCTATCTGTTGGTTCACTGGAATCTTTTTCTTTTGTGAGACTTCAACAAGGAACTTATCCAATGACAGCTGCTTTTGTCTCCTTTTCGATTTCGCAGAAATGTGGACATTGCATTGTCGTTAAACGGATTCATCGCTCGCATTGCTACGCCCTTATTCCTGTGGTGCTTTTCTACTCGATTTTGACTATACGAGTGAGGCACGCCGACGGAGACCGAGCATGGGAGACGGAAGTTATTTTTCAGTTGTCTCAATTTACCAAATTAATTAGGGAAAGTGGGACAGTATGTTTCAGGTAATGTGGGACAATTTTACAGGCTCTCCCAAGAAGAGAGTAAGTACATACTTGACAGGGTGGAATCCCAACTCCTAAATACATTCAGTAAGTATACATAATATATAATATATAAATACATTTATTTATTTATGAAATGGGAAAAAATGCCAACTTGAATTTGTTAAATTGTTTTAGTGTATGATGGCACCAAGGCAGAGAGGCAGAAAAGAAGGTTAGAGAGGTGAAGGGGCAGGAGGACTAAATGATTACAAGCAACTGTACTGTTTTTACTGTTAGTATAAACTTTACATGTATTGGTTTAGGCATTTTCTACAAAACAAAATCCAAAATGAAATTAAATCTAATGGATTTTTTCAATTACTATTTTTGATTAAAAAAAAATAATCAACAATTAATGTTCAATGTTCAACTGTTCCTTGAGCTGTTTTGTTTATTAAACCCTATGCAAATTGTTCAATATTGATGTATTGCATCTATATTCAATATTGACGTATTGCATCTATATTCAATATTGATGAATTCCACCTATATTCAATATTGATGTATTGAATAAATGCCTGTCCCATATTACCAAACCAGCTGTGCCACATTACCTGAAATAGGTCCCACTTTACCTTATGGGTGCAGGGAGTGTATAGACCAGGGACGGATTATGGGTTGTGTGGACCCCTGGGCAAAACGTTTGCGAGGCCCCCCCCACCAGCAGCACCACCACCAGCACCACCACCACAACCACGACAATTCAAGGGCCCTTGGCAGCCAAACGCCCTTCCTCCATGTTTCCATCAGAGGCCCTATAGGGTCAGGGGCCCTTGTAGGCAGAGGATCAAAGAATGTAGGCCCTCTAAAATAGACAAACGAAAATACATTGTTGATAAGCGTTGCAAATTGTTTTGGGCTAGGGGCCCCACGGGCCCCCTGCACCCCAAGGGCCCCTGGGCAGCGGCCCCACTGGCCCGGTCCGTAATCCCTGGTATAGACCTGTATCACGGCCCCCATAAGCAAGAAATTTCATTTTGATGTGATAAGTAGACATCTTAAGGATTGCAGAAAGGTATCATATGTGGTATCATAAGTAGATTAGGTTAATGTTTCAATGGGCACTAGAAATGAAAATGGCAAAAAAATGTCCCACTTTACCTGAATTCACCGCTTAAAAAACGTAATTAACTTAGGCCTAAGTATGAATTTGTCTTCAGACTCTTTGCAGTAAATATATTGGTATATATATAAAGTAATTCATTTAAAACAATCAACAATGTTGATTCACTCAACGCAAATGCAGAATGTTAGCATGTTAGCTGTATATCAGATACTGTATAATAAAACGTTTATTAAACCGCATTTTACCAAGTGAGTTTTTCTAATTATCCCGAAATGTTCGTATGACTGGAAATAAATTAGGTATGCGGATATACCTCCAAACCTCCTACAACGATTATTTTTATCACATTTTTATCAGGATAAGTGAATCTTTTTCAGGATAAGGTTCTCTTTATAAATCCCAAAATCTTCATGTAAATGTGCCTAGGAATATTTCTGGTCTTTTTTTGTTTGTACGAGGCCTTTATAAATGAGCTATTTAGTTTTAGCTTGTACGCGAGTTGAAATACTGTTGATGCTCACTTACCCAGTTAATCAACGCTTGATTTTTATAAAGCTTTTTTTTAACATAAAGGTTTGGTTAGGGTTTGATCTGGCCCTAACGCTAAGCTTTGCATGACACCTTTTTATTGCATGACTTTGCATAATATGAGGGTTTACCTGGGCACGTCTGTCGTGCTATATCAGAAAATCTGTTTCTCCGACAGGGACACAATTGTTCTGCATGTATTCATGAATTTATTAATGAAAGTCATTTGCGCAAAGAATTTGTACTTTGATTTATTAACATTAAACATCACATTTCCCCCGTTTAAGTCTTACTTTATTAACTGAAGCACTGAGTCTTTGGCTTTGTTTTTTTCACTAACAGCGAGGTACAGTATAGAGCTGCATCTGCAGAAGTCAGGTTGACTGAGGTCGCTCGGTATCCCCGGTAACAAGCGCATGCTACGGTTTCAGTCGCAACGCAACGTCATCCGGAATATTCCAGGAAACGGATGACTGGACTGCAGGTTCCGCCAGCTGGCGGCTCTTTGCATGCGCAGCGCGACCTGACATGTTCTGCAGCTCACCTCCGGGAAAAAAAAAAATTAAATAATCTTGTTACATTCTGCCGCTAAGGAATTCCCACCCAAACTGCTGATTTGTGCAGTAAGAGTATAAGGGATCTGGCTTTAGTTATAGAGAGGTCTGGGACCCAAACTATATATTTATACATATTTTTCAGAATTCTAATGTAATTAAGTAACCCATTAATTAATTTAATGACCCATATGCCAGTGCTCTGAAGAACCCTGTTGATTAAATGGGTGAGGGATCTGCACTAAATGATTCCTCGAGTCATTTTGAGAATAGCTCTTCCTGTCAATGACCTGTTCTTTTGTCCCACGCGTTCACATCGTACTGAAATCGCTCACGCTTCCCACACACATCTGTGCCATGGCACACATCAGGCATTTTCTCTTTACAACCTGCAAAAACATTTCCTTGAACAGTAGGTGATCTACAGATGCCTAAGGTGATAATTAAAGTTATAATGGTTATGAATGGAGCTTTTATTCTGATTTGCATAACTCTTCCCCCAAATGAGGAAATTATAAAAACTTCCTTTCTGGCTACAGCTAACTAGCTGAATGGCCAGGAATGATTAGCGTTTCTTTCCAGAGAAAAGAGTCACTGTTTACTAAAACCGAAACTGCAGGGAAATTCTTCCCCCTCCCATTGCCAAGGAAGAACAAACCGTAAACTAACCGTCCACCAGGAATATTTACAGATTGAGCTGTAAGAGACAGTTGGTGTGTGACTCAGTGGGTTATGACTCTTTGCTTGTGATTAGGAAATAGCCAGTTAATGCCCCGGCCTTGGTAGACCAGTCACATGTCTGTGAGCTCTTGAGCAAGGCCTTTAACCCCCAGCTCCAGGGGTGCTGTATGTTGGCTGACCCTATACTGTGCTTCCCCAGCTATGGAAAACAATATGGGATTAGCAAAATAAGCATTCCAATGTACTCATGCAAGTGGCAAATAAAGCATGTCTATTTGTCTTGTTTTTGACATGAGAGTCATGGATTGGCTGAATTTACATGGGGGAAAAAAAACTGACCCTGAATAACATTACTAATAGGAACTGGTTGAGAAGAGAGGGTAGCAAAGGCATTGTATGTGTCAGACTTGACATTTTCAGCGAGTCAAAGCAGGAAGTGTGGAGTCGATAGCAGCCTGAGACGTTCAGCAGGATGAGCTCAGTGAAAACCTGGCTTCAGTGAAACCCGGCCCTCCCCCTTTCGGTTCAGTGCCGGTGTACGCTTCACGCTGGAACGCCAGGCGAGTGCCTCCCAGTCTCTTGTGTTTCCTTGTCAAGGTGATGTTTCAACACTTACTTATCCTGGGGCGACATCAGCACTCTTAGGATAAGAACTCAGTTGACTTGCTTTGGCAACAGGTTACTCAAACAAACTGGGACTCCTCCCCTCTCCCAGGACAGCTCTTTCCTGACAATCTGCACCATCCCTAACAACAAAACTACCCTATCAAGAAATCTTAAGCAACAATAATGCTCCAGAGGTTGCAAACACACTGACACATCCAGTAAAAATAAACCAAAACAAATTAAATGTGTGCTCGAGGCAAGGTAGCCGCTGGCTTTATTTTTAGGCAGGACAATTGGGGCCACTTTGTGAAAACGCTTGATGGTTTTTGATTGATGGAACCTCGTCACTAGAATGCCACACTTCATAGCTGTGGCAGCCCATTCAGGATTCTCTCGCTGACACAAACTGGCCTCGCTGTGATGATGATGACCAATGGTCGCTGGGATTACATATGATCAACTGCTTTAACCCATTTCCCATCAGCTACATTACAAGCTCACGTGCAATCCAGTCAGGTGGTGTCACACCATTGTGAGCACCTAATCCGGGCTGCGGTCTCTAAGCAGGAAATGGTTCACTTAGGAGGGGTTGCATGTTCGGGGGGTCCGGTTGAAGTAATCTTGTCCTGCCCCCAAGAATTATGTGTAACAGGCCAGCTCCCAACTGTGGTTTCAAATGCTGAATTATCCCACTGAGACTTAAATATACTGCAGGTGTTTTTTAATGTCCTTCCAAGGCTGGGAGGGGGGGTTGGGACAGTTCCAACAGAGATGACAATTTGTCATGCAAGAAGAGGATTAAACATTTGGTGTTGCATTGCCTCCGTGTCATTAGTCTACTCCGTCATGATCTAGGACTACTGGAAGACGGGGACTGAAAAATAACACATTCAGAGGAAGAGAGGGAATACTTTTATTTGTAAAATGTAGCAACATAGCTGTCCAGCATTGATTAAAATGATTCTAAACATTTTACAATTGGTTCCCAAAACAGAGAACAAAATACCTTTATGCAAAAAAATAGTTATTTTAATAACAACACACATGCTCAATCACTCACACCAACACACACACCCACTTCTGTGATTAACACTTGAAAAGTTAATAAATGAACCACAGGTGTGAATATGGCGTCTTGTACTTGAATTGTTTACTCTGTTGAGCATGTGACTCCTCTGTGGGAGAGAGTGAGTCGTATACCGTTGATTAAAGCTTTTGCTTCATGGAAGAGCTCACATCATTTTCTGGCTTCTTGGGGTCGTACGCAGAGGTGGGGGCTCTTTGGTCGCAGAGGACTCAGGCCTCAGGCCAGGCCCCATCTTTGGGCCAGTGCATTCACACGTGTGACGCTTTGGGCTCTGGCTGCCTCACTAGGCACAGCTTCTAAACGCTTTGGCACACGGTGCCCAAACAGATTCTGGGAGATTCATTATGGAACCACGTCCCTCGGAACCACAAAAGAAACACCTAGATTTTTAACCTGGAAAAGTGTTAATGCTTCCAAGCTCTCGCCAGCGTTTCTATAGATAATTTGGAGCTACAGGTCTTGAATCTCTTAATGGTGGTGGTTTGACATTAGAGTTTCTCTAATGGGTTAAGGCCACGCGGACTGAGAATAGCTTCTGTACTCCTTGCATATTACAGAGAGGAGGAAGTTACAGCTACCCACTACCAAGAAATTCATTTGCACTTACAGTAATTGCAATTAAAACACCAGCTGCAATTAGCAAAGCGCTAATAAAACTATACATTTCTTTAGCATAAAAAAACATAACTTTTCCTTGTGCTCTATGCGGCCGTTCAGCCAAGATGCACATATTTAAAGGACTGCGGATTAGTACACCCTGATAAGATGCAATATGCATCAACAATCTCCAGACCGTTAAAAGAAATTGCATGAGGTCTGGAAGTGACAAGTATGCATCGTGCGCATAAGGCTGTATGTGGCAGAAAAAACACTAGTTTATATTCAAACCTTTTGAAGCAAAATATCTGACTTCTATGGTTTGCAGGGCCCTTGAAACGACAAAACATGTCAGTGGGATCCAAGTGTCCCAGCTCATGGATCACCACCATGGAGAAGCTGGACTGGTAGGCCGTCGGGGAAAAGGGATGGAGGTCAGGGAATTCCGCCGTGGGATTTCAGAGACAGGATCTCGGCGGCAAGCTTCTGGGGGTCCAGCAGGTGTGGGAACATGCCCATGACTTTGTCGACATGGTAGGGGTTGAAAATAGCCTGCAGCTTCTTTCGGACCTCCTCGCGCTCCACCCCAAAGGAGGCCCGCTGTTCAGGATAGGGGACCACAGATCCCTGCGTATGCTGCCCGAGCATCTGATGGGGGTCAGGGAGGCTACTGGAGGAGCGGGACTCAAACAACCAGTACTTGTCCTGGTGAGGGACCACCCCGCCAGGCTGGAAGTTGGTAGGGAGACTGCAGGCCTGGCTGTCCTGGGGGTACAGGTGGCTCCAGTAGGTGGAGTAACTGGACTGGCCGGGGGAGGCAAACTTGAGGTGGGGGTCGTGGCTGAACTGGTGCGTACCAGCAGCCACAGGCACGTGCGGGCAGCACTGGCTGGGTTGGTACCCGTCCAGTCGCTTGGACTCCCCAGATTGTGCGAAATGTCGCCTGGATCTGTCCCTGGAGGAGCAATGGAGCAACCTGGGATCCGCGCTATAGGGGCTGGAGTGTCCCCGAGACACGTCCGAGTACTGGCTTTCGTAGGAGCCCAGGCCGGAGTCCAGGTGTTCAAGGGAGGAGTCAATGCTGGTCGCACAGTCTTGGCCTGCCCAGTCAGACCAGGGAGACTGGCCCCAGTACAGTGGCACATTCTCGGTGACCTGTTGCACCTTCCTCGGCGGCCAGTGCCCATCCAGGTTCAACTTCTGCTCCAGCTCCTGTGCCAGGGGGACGGGGGACTGCGAGTGGCAGGGATCCCGCTGGGGACCCTTTTTGGCTTTCTTGTCATCCTTCAGCTTGGCGTTTTCCCGGAGCTCGTCAGCCAGAGAGCGCTGAGACTGGTTCACGCGCTCTGGGTGGTAAAATTTACACTTGATCCCATAAGTGCACTTCTTTCCTACATGTTAAGGCAGAAAACCAGATCTGATTTTATATATATATATCACGTGCACACACACACACGCACACGCACACGTGCACGCGCACACGCACACACAGCTGCCTCTAATATTTGGCTCATTTTCATTCCACATACCAGGGACTGATCTAATCTGAAGTTAATTAAAATAGGTCTTTGCAAGAACCGAGTCTTTGTTCATCTTTCCTCAATGCCACAATGATTGTTATAAAGATCTTCTAAATTATGGTTACATTTGTGAAAAAAAAAAAAAGAATTAAACTCTTTGACCCCATAATAGCTGGAGGACACAGCTGTTTATCAACTTACATAGGTTTTGTAATCAAAAACTAGCAAGTTCAAAGGTTCACAACCTAGCAGGGTAAACTGCGGTTAAGTAACACCAGTGGAGATTTTTAACCACCGTTTCAGTGAAGGTTACGCTCCTTACTGCTGTATATAAATGTGGAATTCTGGAGCTTTGCCTGTCATTTTAATAACAAATCAAGGTATTGCCTGCATCAAAGTCACTTAAATGTCAATAAGCTAATGTACAGATGATATTCTGTGATCAGGAGAGTGCAGGACTTCTTACCGTAAGGGCAAGCCTGACGTTTCTGCTCAGAGGCCTGCGGTTTCTTCCTGAGAAAATTATCCAGGCTGGGACCATGCCGGCCCAGGGGGTCGTCGGGAGGCATAAACCTGAGGGGAGGGGGTGGGTCAGGAGGAAAAGGGTGAAACTACGAAGTGTTCTTGAAGAATGAGTGGTACAAAAACCACGTAGCTGTGGCTGTATGCCATTAAGTTATTCAATGAATCAACTATTTACACTTTACACTCAATGTGAAAGAGTGAAGATAAGAATATTCAAAGGCTAACAAAAATTGACACTTGTGAGGGGCGGGGTGGGGGAGACTGAAAGAGTGAGCAATGATTCTAGAATGTTCCCACCCACTCCAGAGGCATTTATATATATGACCACACACACACACACACAAATTCATGTTTAATTTGACTGGGAATAAAAAACTGCATTTTATAGTAAAAAATAACATACATTAACTGTACTAACTGTTACAGATTTGTAGAATTTATTTAATACTTTTGAGTACCTTTCATGGTAACGAGGCAGGCCTGGTTTGTGCTAAAGGCCAAAGGGAAACACTACTGATCTACAAAGCACTTACTTATCATTCACGAATGAGTACATGAGTAGTCTTTCCTCAATGAAGCGTTTCCATTCTGGCTTCTCGCCCTGCAGGTCGCGGTACGTGTCATTAGACACGATAACCCCATCAGTCTCGTGGGCCAACTTCACAATGAAGCGGTCATCGTAGCAGACCACCCGCTTGCCCCCCACGCGTCGTGACGGCGTGAAGACTACGATCTTCTTCTTCTCCAGGTCCCTCAGGATGTGCTGGTCTGTAAATCCACCCCCCCAAAAAAAAAAAAACAAACAAAAATTGCCGTTTATATGTCACAATTAATGAGCCTATATCTAAATGGTTGACAATTCTCACAGATGCACAAGGAACGCAAACCTTTCCCGATGACTCAGCGTCACTCAGACAACATGTTCTTTTTCAACTGGGCATGAGCAGACACGGCATGTCACCTGAGCGCATTAACTGTTTGATCAGGTAGGCGGAAGTCTGGCAGCAGCTGACTGTTTCTGAAATAAAAGGCCTATTTCCTGGTGGGGAATTCCCCTGCACAGGCCACAGTGGTTTCCTCCTGAAGACTGACTCTGGCCTTGGGATTGTCCCTCGTGAAAACTAGTTCACCTGCCCGAAAAGCTCACGAAACCAGGGGCCTGTCAGCAAAACTACTTTCTTGCACGAGGGGCCAACCAGGAAGTCATGTGGTTGGCCAAGAATCATCGTGAGAAACAACAACAATAAGAACAGCAGCAGCAAATCCCCGTAAGCCTGCTTAGTGACTGCTTAACAAATACAGGCAGAGACTGTTTTTTTTCGCCATAAGGAAACAGAGGGTGAAAGTATGCAGAAGATGTGAGTGAATGAAAAAAAAAAACAGCACATGCAAACTAGAGAATGTTTTAGCAAGTACAATGCAGCAACTCCAATTCAGACGCAAAACAAACAAAAAAAAAAAAAACACAGATGTTAAAATGTATCCCAGTAGCAAGACTTTTGTCCAACCAGCACACAAGTTTCATCTCACCTGTAATCGGCACGTCCGGCCTGGGCTGCTCTTTTCGCCATGAAGGCACAAAAACGGTTATTTCGGTGTGGCCTCTTTCCAGGAAGTAGCTGACTGCCAGCTGGATGCCCTGGCAGGAGAAGACCTCTTTGTTCCCGTGGCTGAGGACAGGAGGGGGAAAAGACGGAATCAAACGTCGTTGGGATATTTTTGGCAGGAATGCCATTTCATGCAGTTTGTCTTATTTTCCATCAGGGCAGGATGTCTGGAGTCTGTCATTTGGGGAGGGGGGGGGGGATGTCAGTGGAATTTGACCACTTCTCATTCAAAGAGGGCTGGAAGAACCTGCACCCCAAGCAGAAGCTCGCAAAGGACGATGGGAAAGCATTTTGAACAATCCCGTTGTCACAAGTTCATACTTCAAACTACTATCTGGAGAAGACTCACACAGATATGTTAACAGGACCAAGAAAGCAGATGTTGCATCAGGGAGAGTATTTTGTCCCTCCTCTATGTTTGAGTACATTATCTTCTCTTGCTAGAATGCAAATCAGCCATTCGCAAAAAACTCAAAACCCAGAAGTGTTTTTTTCCCCCTTCTTTGTTAATCGACTAGCTTTAAAATCCTGACATGGCGGTTTGAAAACCTGATAAATTGATGGGGCTGTAAAGCACTGCAGGCAAACACTTGACAGAACATGCACACCGAGGTGAATCCTAATCTTTTATTGTAGAATAGGTCACCACAAAAACCACAAAAATGTTTTAATATGCGTGCAGGATACTTTCCACCCTCTGCAGATCAGAAATAAACGTGGGGTCCTCTTACAACGGCCACGCAAGGGCCAATCATGGAAAAAAAAAAAAGCACAAAAGATATTCCTTAGTCATCTGTTTTTGCTGGACATATTGTGTCACCGTGGGGTTTGGAACAGCAGATTGCACTTCAACACCAGAACAATCACATGTAAGTGGTAACATCTCATCATTATAAGATGTTGTATAAAGTGTGGCATCTGATGAAATTAGATGCATAGCTGTGTAAAACTTGCCTTTTTATAGTAGAAATCTAGAACTGCATACGTTTTAATATCCTTCAGCATCTACATTTTGGAATATTGAAATATTTATGTCACCGTTTCTTGCAACTTCACAGTTCTTCCAAATATTTTAGCAAAAAATCCTGTGCAATCCTCTATGCCACTGTACAGTTTTAGCTGACCCATCCAGATCTATCAGTGCAGTATGAGGAATGTTCACTTGGCTTAACGTGCCTCATCCTGTTTCTGAGAACAGCCAGAGGCATGTGCTGGGTGTTAAGTGTGGCAGCCCTTGACCTTCTGTGTACAGCTGAGCTTCACCTGTGCTGTTGAGCCAACTACCTGCTGAAAATGAGCAGGAGAACACCCACAGGATGGTTCATCTCTCCTGATTGGTCAACAGGAAATGGGGAATAACTCGTGACAGGAAGGTAAGGAAAAGGAGGTGCCAATCACCTTCTTTATGACACTCTTGCTAGTGTAATCTTAAGCATGTGCGTTCTCTCTCTCACTCCTTCAATTTTCTATCAGTCTTCTTTTCATCTCTTCTTTTCTGTTGTTATTGAGAGCAGATTAGGAGCCAGATAACCCTCCAGAGTCCATTTCTCCATTAATGGACTTTAACTCAATTGTGTAGCCCTTGGGTGTTTGCTTTTATTAAATAACCATGATCTGATCAAAAGAGGTCAACACCATCTCCGTTCCCTCCAGGCAACCCTGAAAACGTGCCTGTAGGGGAAGTCTCTCCTGTGAACAGGCCTGCCTTTGACTTTGTGCCTGGGCATCAGACTATTGGTGTTCGCGGTTCAAATATGACCTAGGCAACAGCAGTGAGCACTTTACCCTTTTGAGGGCTGGTGTATCAGCCAACTGGATGTGCGAGAATGTCACTATAGGTGTCCCAAAGGAGCCAGTGACAGATTCTGGCTTATGAACCGGATCTGTTAAATACAGGGTCTCAGAAGGACCAAGGTGGAGATTCGGATCTGCTGTCAGACCGCAGAGGCCTGCATGACGATGATTTGTCGAGCTCACGTGTGCGGCGCTCACGCTCCTGTAAGGCGGAGCCACAACACAGGCCCCGTGCGAAGCACAGGTGCCGGTTTCACTGTCATGTGTCAGGTTTGTTTTTCACTTTTATGCATCTGTTGATGTAGAAACAGTCCATACTTTTGGAAACACTGTGTGGATCCTTTGCCCCACCAGTGTTGATATTAAACAGGTGTGTGCATGTTTTTTTAAATCCTTTTTTAAAAAAATCTACAGGAAAACTGCAGTACTCAGAAGATGCGGTTTTTCTGGCATAGATAACATTTTTAATGGATATTTCTTAAAAGGACAAAAAATGATCCCAATGAATGAGTTAAGTCAGCTCAATTTACACATTTTGCATGTGACGCGAGCAGCCTGCCACAGAAAGGTGTACTGAATGAGTGTTGCTGGGCCAGTTTAGCTCTACATGTCCTAATCCAAGACGGAAGGGAACAAGAGAGAGCGTCAGCGGTGGCAATTTGCATGTTGAAGAAATGAATTCCGGCAAGTACTGACGTGGGAATGGGGACAAGCAAGAATAGCACCTAGGAGGAGTGGGACGGGCAACAAATATATCTTCTGGGCATACAGTCTTGTCTGGAACTATGACACACTACAAAAGGTCCCTAACCGTAAAAAGTGAGGGGGGGTGCAGATCCAGGGCCCATTTTGTTTCCACTACTGTGTTTTAAAAAAGCCATAAATTATTATGAGCTTAATTAAAAGATTCTTTAAATCCAGTGGAAGAGGGGGCCAAGGAAGCTACAGCTTTCTGCTGAAGAAATATTTTATAGTACCAAGCTTATGTACCAAACTGCTCACGTTCAGAGCTAGCCATATGAAGACTCAGTTTTTCCAACTTAATTCATTTAGCATGACTTGCTCAGCCTGGACACAGCATCTACATTTAAGTTATTTTTATATATATATATATATATCTATCTCTCATTGTTCTTCATTAAAATCCAGCTGTCAGTATCAATTTACAAAGGTAATTGCATCGGCACTGATTAGAATTTGATTGGCAAATTAACTCCGGACTCCCGCTGCTAATTCCTCACTCTTACAGATGCTGACCAGCACCTTTGTGCACAACTGTGTTGTGCATTTCAGATGACTTGTGTGGTCTGGAGTTAAAAACATTTTACAATCAACTGAAGTATCCAAGTACTCCATGAGACATGTTTACAGAACATTTTAGACCCCCCCCCCTCCATTTTCTGTAACTGTTTGTCCTATTCAAGGTCATGAAGGGGGGCATCTGGATCATGCAGGCTATGGTGCAACATTTTAAAGCAAAGTATTTAAATTAGAAAATATTAGTAATGTTCTGTTCATCAACTCACAGATTATTCAAAATATCACCAATATATTTGTGTTGTTTATTAATTACCTGATGTATTTAAAAAGTTTGGATGCCAATGACAACAATGCCAAACAGGGACCGGCTGTCAACGCCTATGTGGTCCCCCTGCATACTTTTCCTGACCTCTACCACTTAATAAACATTAGTAGCAAAACATACAGAAAGCTCATTCACCAGCCAACCGGGTCTCTCATGCAGAATGGAGTAACAGGGCTTAGCTCAGTCACTGATGCATTTAGACGGGTGAACACCTGGAGATGAATGTCACTGATACACTCACCTCATGGCCACATTGCTGCCATCGATCACGATGGGCTTCAACGTGCTTTCTGGCTCCTTCTCGCCCTCCTGGGTCAGTGCCGGGCTACATCCCCGCGAAACCAGCATGGGCCCCGTGGTAACAGGCAAGGGGGAAGCCTCCCTGTCGACTGAGGATCCGGCGCTGGCGCGGACAAGCTCGCCAAGCACGGCGTTGTTGTCCGCGCCCAGCCCCAGCTTCAGTAGCACGCTGCGTGCCTCCTTGGCAGAGTAGCCTAGCTTGCGGAAGGCATCGACGCGAATCTGGAGCGAATCTGGGTCTCCTACTGGGACCCCCTTGACCTCTTGGTCTGGACTACAGTAGCTGGGGTCCATACCATCGCCGGGCACACGTGGGGCTTTGGGGCGTGCAGATGCTGCCGGGGGCAGGGTACCAATGGCCAACATGTGCTTCTTGCTGACGGGCGGCTCTAGAAAGCCCAAGGTCCATAGGGCTGGGGAGGCACTGTGAGAGTTGGGCTTGACAACAGAGGAGTCCCCTCCTGGCCAGGCTACGTAATCTACACCCAGGCTTGTACTTTGTCACAGGCCGGTGTCAAAGTTCATGTGGTCTTCCTCATTGCGCTTTGCCCGATTGTACCTGGGTCATAAAATCATAAGGAAGTGTCACTGTTATCAGAAGGACCAGCTAACGTACAGGTAGTTGAGCTACAAACTGTAAACACAGACCGACATGCTCCAGGTTTTGTCATGCACCAGGTATGCACTGAATGTTATCATTTGTGGTTTTGGTATTTGGCAAGAATGCAAGCGGCATAAGCGTATTGCTACACATCTTAAGCATAACCTTAAAATATTTACTCAAAATAGCCTATTCACTTACACTAGGCGGCTGTTTCACAAGCTGGAAAAACAAGCCGTTCTCCAAAGTCCCCAGAGAGATGATTTTAAACAAACATTTTATTCTCGTTTCTTGTTACTACTAATTGAACTGTAGCGAGACAAAAACGATTCCGACAAGTGCTAATTTTCAAAGAATGAGTAGAAACACCGGCCGAAAATAAAAAATAATTCGTTCATGGTCGGCTTCATACATTCCCCCAAAAGACAGCTTCAAAGGGACATCTTATTCAAAAGGTATGACGTAAGAATTGGATTCATTTCTGTTTCGAAGTGAGAAGGCAAAATGTTACAAAAGTAATACCTGCTACGCCTTAATTTCTTTAAGTATATTATTAAGATTTATCTATATGAATTTGTTTAAGAAACAACACCTTTTCCCCCCAAGTATTACGAATTAAATGAATGAGAAAGAATCGCACGCATTTTCATCGTTCACATGAAAAAAAGCTCAGGACTCCATTCTCGTAACTTTACACTTTTCCTATTTATATTACTTTACATACCGTACAATCTCGGATATCTGCGCTTGTAAAAAAAAAAAATAACGCCGGTCCGTCCCGATCGAGGACTTAAGCTAAATACGTGTGCTGTTCTTGTACTGCGGTAATCCGAGCAACTGACTTTTTAAAATACCAAGATCTACGTTTGTAGATTGCAAAATAACGCAAACTGTTAACAGAACTGAAAAAAAAATGACGATCAAAATATTTCGGCTTTCCCTACCCACAAAAGACGTAAGAAATGAACAGGTACACGAACTGTACTTTCCTGTACAGACAGAAAGATATCCAACATTTTCTAGTTTCTGAACTACCTAGATTTTAACATATTATTATCAATAACAGATCGTTTGCAAGCTTACCTTAGACGACTAAACGCGTTATGTCCCCTTACCTCTTCCGCAGGGACATCTGGCCGCACCTCCGCCTTTATACCGCATGGCACCTGTGAGCCTGACGTCACTGGTCAGCTCCGCACGCCTCTGCCCTCCTCGGAGCGCCGGAGCTGTTCGGATAGAGCGGAGAAGCGCAGCATGTCACGCCGTCTCTTTCCAGCCGTCAACGCTGCTTATTAGGAGATTCTAGACGCAGTTTCTGCGTTTCTCCGGCCTGCGCCTGTTTTCATGTGACTTTTGGAGCCATATTGCTCTCCGCTGGCGCCCAGCCAGACATAGGGAAATGTTTGTATTAAAAAAGTAGTTCACTCGTGGAATAGTCTGTGCACAGTAAAACTCTCCCCTGCACATTTCAAGAAATGGGGCTGGCAAATTCTCCGTTTGTATTTATATGTATGCATACATATGTGTGTAGAATAGGCCTGGAATAGGTAGAATAAACCATTTATTAACTGATTAACTGATAAGTTTACTGAAGTGACGGTCGAGCCATCCACTAATTACAAAGTTTACCAGGACCGCTGTGTAGAACCACTGTGCGTTACATCCCGTCATTATGCACCGACACTTTTCTGGGAACTCGTGTTACAGGAAAACGGCATGGAAATGAGGAAATGACCCAAAGAGAAAAGGCGATCATTTAATGTGAACACAAACAACGTTATAACCCACTGTGACTACCTTTCGCCTTCATGCTGTCTTGTAGTAATGGAATAATCTCTAAAATGGGAAAAAAGATACTAGAAATGATACAGAGTATTATTACTGTTATGTCCTTACAATGAAACATGTCTCACGTTCAGACGTGTCAATCCCCAGGATGCAGGTCATTTCTAAAATGTACCACTAGATGTCACCACAACACCACTCTGTACCCCAGTGCCGCTATATCCTATTCAAGAAATCCAGCTTGACCATCTCCGTGTACGGTTCCGAAAGAATACGGAAATAACAACAACAACAATAATAAAACATGGTCATGGATTACAGAGGGCTGTTTCACGAAGCAGGATTTATTTGCTTAGCCAGACAACTTGTTTGATTTAAGGTAGTCTGGGCTAAATGTAAGGGAACGAAAATAAAGTCCATTTAGTCCAGACTACCTTAAATCCAAGAAGTTGTATGGCTAAGCAAGAAATCCTCCTTCATGGACTACCCCTCAGGTTAACATTTAAGCCGCGTATAACATATTCAGTGTCGTAAATTTATAACGTGTTAAGGCGTCTCTAAACAGTTTTTTTAAACACACCCAATTTTTCAGAAGTGTTTGCGTCGTTCCTATTGGGTGTGTTGAAAGGTCAATTCGGGATCAAATGGATTAGTTTATAATGTAAATATACAAGAATTAAATAGACACCTTGTTAGCTATACACGATGCACACAGGGTTGCCAACTCTCACGCATCTGGCGTAACACAAACGCTTTCTGACTCACGCTCACGCAAGACTTCTTACGGCAAATCTATATTATTCCATTATGAACCTAAAATGAGCTGCGTTGGGGCAGTTTGCTGACCATGTAGACTATTTACAGGATAATAAAACTGTTACACAGATGTAAATGAGTGTGCAGACTTGTCTTCAAAATCTCACGCCAGCCAACCGACCGAAGTTGGCAACACTGTGCACATTTATAATATTGGTGTATTCATCATAATATGATGCTTATGGCGAGTTGCATTGTAAAACCGGTAATGTCCAGCAGCTTGATCAAGTTTTGTGGAGCACAACCCAATCTTCAAATGTCAGCCACACTCCGTTTTTTTTTTTTTTTTTAAATGATATTTATAATGATGTGTCTGCAAAGCTACTGACGCGATGAAATGAAAAGTTACATTTCGAAGTCACACATTGAAAAATCCATATAGCTTCATAAGGTTATAATTCTGGAGGGTTCGCTGGGAGGTGGCATATACACCACAGCCAATGCATAAATTCGGTTCTATATTCTAACTGTAAAGTTGTCAGACAAATTCCTCCCATATTTCTGTCATGCCTTGTCATGTCTCTTTAAGAAATCTTTCCCCAAATCTTTTTCATATCAATGGTCCCAAAGAAACTTCTGTACATAGTCATAAACAGACAAAACCACTTGGCAGGATCAATCAAGTGTTTTTAATATATCACCCATTTAATTTAATTTTGTTTTTCCGTTTTAAGAAGCCGGTTGTGTTGTCATAGCTACCTGCCTCGTGCAGCATATTGTGTAATGTCGGGAACCAGGGAGGGTCCCGATGGTGGAGACAGTCAGCCTTCTTGATTTGCTTTCCTGTAGGATCACACACATCCTGGAGCAAAGAATCTCCCCCAAAAATTTGCTATATATGTAATGAAGTTTTGGTACTTGAAAACTAATCTGTCAGTAGGTCTTTATTTCAGAGTGAATGAAGTTCGTTTGTGGTTAGTGTTTTGGTTTATTTTTTTTTGTTGAATGTCATATGCATTAGTCATTCTTTCCTGGAGTCGTCACTCAGTCTCAGATTCTTTGTGACACAGTTATGTTAGGAAGAAAATATGGGGATTAGTCTTCCCTTTGTCTCCCCTCTTCGTAAATTATTGTTAATTGTACGGGAATCTTCTTTTGCTCTGTGCAAATTCTCTTTACCACTGAAATGCCTGTCCGGTCATGACTGTCGCAATGTGGGTTCAGAAAGAACGCCATTTTGTTTTCACTGCATATTGTGCATGGCTGACATGTCAGTAACACTTTATTCGAGATAACGTGAGATGAGGGCGAGATACTGACTAAGGCAGGTCGCTCCAGCTAGTGAAGATGGTGGTGGAGACCCATGCAAAGGGAACACTGTAACTGAAAGGTGATCGAGCAGAAGGAAACCCTCAAAAGGTCTGTTTTAATGATCAAAAGGAGTGATCCTTATTTACAAAGAAGACGAAGTGTGGAATGGTAATTACAGAATGTATGTTGTATAATCAAAAAAGGTGTGGGGTTTGTTTTGTTCTATGTTATGTATCTTTTTGGTTTTGTAATAGAAAATGATTCCGGCTTTCCCCAGGCTCACCGTGAACATAAACCCGCTGTCACCATGCATCTGTACTTCTTGGAAACTTCGGGGAGTCGGCTGCCGGGGCCGTGAAGCTGAGCCTGAGACCCCTGAATCGCCACAGCTGGTGTAGGTTTCTATTTTTTTCTTTTTCTGTTCTTCATGTTGATGGGGGCAGCATCCGGAAGCGGTTTGCTGCCAGAGTGTTAGGGTGACCCGAGGACACCCTATTTGCTCTTTAACACACCGTGTTTAACTACAGTCCAGTTCTCCGGAATTGTCCTGGGATCAGCTGGGTCAGTTCACATGCTTTGAGATTTGAATGTTATATCAGATAAATTCATGGTTCTGCTGCTGTCCTTAGCAACCCTTAAAATGTGCTGTTAACAGAAACATGTCACTGTGGTAATAGTCCATAATTACAGTCTTTTTCCATGTTCAGATGCTTCTCCTGTTGTTTTTCTTCACAGTGCGTTGTCGAGGCTTGTGTTGTGACACCCGTGTCGCTGTTTCCTGGGGGATTTTTTCAGTGTTTCCTTTCCTGTGCTGATATTTTCTAGGCTGTGAACCCACAACGCAAATATCCTCCCCGAATGAACATGTGGTGACAAGAAGCAGGGCAGCCCTGGGGTTGTCGAGGAGCGGAGCCAGTGATCCTCAGGTGCCCAAGAAAGTGATTTGCATAATTTAACCACACAAGTCATGGGCCTCTGTCGTCATTCCGGGCTTGTTGTTGTTTAGAATAAAGAAAAGCCATAGATAGGGTCACATGTTCCATAATGCCATGCTTCAGGATGTGGAAGCAGATGCTGACACTGAGGAAAGCCACATTTTTTAGGTGCAGGACAGGGCGACCCTGCTGCTTAGTGGATTTCCTCTTAACTTTACCCCATCCTGCTCTAGGAACAAAAGTGCAACAGCTTTAGTGACCGACTTTGGGGGTGCGGGACTGGCGAGGAGGAGGAAGAGGAGGAGGAAGAGGCAGGGTAGGATCACGGGTGTGGCTGCGCACCAGGCCATTACACACGCTACACAAAAACGGAACAAATCGTGAAGAAAAGTCACGTCAAGAGAGCTCGGCCAAAGGTGTCTGCCAGGCAAACAAATGAGGTAAACACTCTCACATGTAGACGGCCAAAGGTGTCTGCCAGGCAAACAAATGAGGTAAACACTCTCACATGTAGACGGCGGCCCCCATGCAGCGACTGCCAGGCCCTGCTTTGATTTTCGCTCCCGCCAGCCCTGGCCCGTGCCTTCCAGACAGCCAGTGACTCACAGGGCACAGCAGGAGTGAGGGGCAGGAGCCGATTCCCACTGTGATCTCAGGAATAGAAGAGTCACCCCCCCCCCCCACCTAGGCTGGGATGCCCCAGGCAATTGGAAGCCTTTTCCCCAACGGTTATGATCACAGAGGACTTCAGAGCTCTGACAAGCATCTAAACCACGATCTGAGTTATATTTCTCAAATAAATTACCCTTCTGGTTGTTCCCCTGTCTCAGAAGGATTATCTAATATCCATCTTGCTTATTCAGTACAGGGTCACTGTGAACCAGAAGCCCAGGTACCCAGGGTACGAGCAGAGGACACCCTGGATGGGACGCCAGTCCCTCCCAGTTTCCTGCTAGGCCAGGGAGCAAAAATTTGGACTGTCTGGGGGTCCCCAAAGACTGGGATGGGAAACTCTGCGTTACAGGGCACATGCTCACACACACAATCACACTAAGGGCAATTTGCAGGCATTGTTTTACTTGAATTGCATGTCTTTGGATTATATGAGGAAATTGGGGGTGGGAATCAAATGGGGTGGGGCTACAGTGCTACCCACTTAACCGCCGCTTCACTTTGTTATGTATTTTATGCAAATACTGAAACAGAAGAACTGTGTACTTACGTATACCTACCTATATTGGGGCCAGCAAATTTTTTTGTTCAACACCGAATTGTATTTATGGAGAAACAGTGACCTCTGCTGGCCATTGGCAAACTAAATGGTACTCGACTGACGACTGTGCCGATTCACTTATAAAAACGTTATCATACATTTAACGTACCAGAACTTTTAAATACCAGAATCCCACAGGTGGTTACATTCATACTGCAAAACCCGGAACTGGGTCTGTAGCCTTTTACCTTCCCGTGTTGGCAAATCAGTTAGGTGAGGTGAATTTCTCCTGATGGAAATGACGTACGTTAAAGAAAAAGCCGATAAACAACATGTCATTCATGCATATTTCAAAAACTTAACAATTAAAATGTGTAAGCTCAAAATCACAGTTTAAAAAATGTAAAGTTTGAAAAATCATTTTAAACGGGTGAGATTAAAAGCACATCGCCCCTAAGTGTGTGAGATAATGTTTTTATGTGAGGTGGAGGTTGTGGTTACTGGAATTAATAGAGACCCCAGCTTTTTCTTGCGAGTACATCCTGGTCCAGAGTCCAGGCTCAGTCTGCCAAAGCTCTGCCCACGACAGGTCTGATTTGGTTTCCTTGCCTGCCCGTTCTACATTAATCATTTTGATGTATATGATACTGTCTGCACCTGAAAAGGGAGATACCCAACCAGCCGGGCTTGCTGCCAAAGCCTGTATCACATGACTGCTTTACCATCTCTGTGTGTCATGCTCTCAGTGCTTGTGGTGTCTGTAATTTGAATTTAGGCCTAGCTGATGGAGAGAGTTACCCTTTAGCTGCTTGCGGGGAAAAGGATATCAGACAGTTTCACGGACAACAGCAGCAGCACCTTTTGTTACGGTAAGCTGGTCCCTGTAATCTCTCATCCAATTCTGGGGGCAGCTGGAGTCATTTTCCTGCCGTGAAAATTAATTTTCTTACGATCTGATCCTCCCCCCCCCCCAAAAAAAAAACACTGAAAAGGAATGGATAACGACCTCCTAACACCGGTGATCCATCTTCAGGTACTGGTGACAAAATCATTAACGATTTCCAATTTACTCATGGCTTGAATCTGAAGTAAATCAGATGAGTAGTTTACGCCGCGTGCTGAAAGATGGCTGCTGCCTCTCCGCAGGACCTTCAGATAGACGCCTCCCATTTCTCCATAGATCGCTTGGAACGATTTTTTTGTTGGCTGACATTGGCTGCTGCTCAAGAAAATTTCTTATGACTGTTTACTCCCACATAAAAAAATATGCATTGAGCTTGACCTAAGTAACCTGATAACAGAGACATGTTTGAGTACAAGTATTTTCAAACTTCCCCTTAATCAGATGACTGTAAAATATAGGGATAATTATCTTGTACAAACACAAGAGGGTCATGTGTGGATTTGTTTACACCAGGAAAGTGATGACACAAAGGGCTGTGAGATATGAGCCACTTCCTGCTTGGGCACACAGATACAGGGGCGGTGTGTGTCTCTGTGCATCAGAAAATTCACCAGTTCATATTCAGCGGCTGGCAGAGTGATCATATCTCTGTTGGGCCCTTGAGCAAGGGCCTTAATCCTGAAAACTGCTCCAGGGCCCCTGGATAAATGGGTGACCCTGTGCTCTGAGCACAAGCTTGGCTCTCATCTCGAACTGTGTGTCTCAGTGGAGAGAGACATAGGATGTGTGAAAACTGAAGAGCTTCTATGTATTTGTATGAATGGCAAAATAATATACCGCCAGTTAATGAATCTCCCCGTCTCCCTTTATAAATGGTGTAGCATCCGAACTGGTGTGTTGCTTGTCTTGTGAGTGACCATGTGGTCCAGACAGGAGACATGAGAAATAAACTGGCCTGGTTGGGTGTAGTCGGGGGCGGGTGGGTATCTCTATTCCTGCAACTTTGCGACTCTAGGGGTATTGGTTTAATTCCCTCCTTTAGCCATGTGTGAACTGTGCATTCCAAACACATGTGGCATCACTAACTGGCAGTAAACATGTCTGTGACCTGATGGCATGGCATCCAGTCCAGGGTGCCCAGATCTGGGTTTACAGGGGTGCCTGAGGGTGCATAGTACCCTAAAATTAATAATATGCACCCTCAGGTGGAACCCATGACTGCGGCAGGGTCATGGGGTCGAGTCCCCTCACTAGTTTCAGATGCACCCTTAGCGTTTGTGTTCTGGACCCTGTACAGTCTGCTTCTGTTAAGGTGACTTTGTATCTCACTGTTATATAACACGGGTCGACTTAAACCACCACTTTCCTTCATTGGCGGTGACGTCTCTGAAACCAGGGGGATTTCAATGGCGGTTTGTCAAGGAAGCAGAGGCTCTTGGGTAATATTATCATGCCATGTTTTGCATTTGTGCTTCCTGTTACAGCTGCCAAACCCTAACCCGCAGCTGCTATTTCAATTTATTGCAGTTATAAAAGCTGGCAGGATCTCTCCTTGTGTCAACTGGACTTCCCCCTCACTGTGGTCATTTTCAAGAATACATTTTCCAGCTACTTTATTGTGCTGGCATCTGCTGCTGGAACGCATCCAGAGACGTGAAATGAAAAATCTTTGGCTGGCTGCGTCATAAACTTTTGTTGAACCACACTGAACATGTCCCCCGGTAAGTGAGACACACGCACAAGGTCAGACAGCAGGTGTGCATACAGGGGCAGAGCCCCAGGGGTACTGTCCCCAGCTGGAAGCTGATTGGCCCACATGATGCCCTTCCTCTGTCACTCACCAATTCGACACATATCATTGGCTAATAAGGTTGGCCCCTATGTATGAATTATGGCCCCTCTTATGCCTACCCACCTTAAAAAAATGTTAGAAAGTCAGTCTAATCATCCTAAGAATGAGATCAAATGGATGGCCGCTCTGAAAGCTGCGTTTTCCACTAAGATTACCTGTTAAGTTTTGTCAGCCATGTTGTGTCTCAGCGAGGCCATGTGACCTGGCACCTGCCTCTGCCATCCTGGTTACCGTCTGGTTGGCATCCTGCTCTCATTTGCCTTTTTCCAGCTTGACTGGCAGTTAACAGGTGCCATCTGGCACATCTGCTGTGTGCTTTTAATACACACTCAGTGGTCACTTTATTAGATACACCTGCTCCTTTAGTGCAAACAGCCAAACAATGAACCATATGGCTGCAGCTCTACACACACAGCATGTATGCAGGGTCAAGAGGTCCACTTATGGCTAATATGGTGCCACCGTTGGATTTTTGCACTTTGCGGAGAACGGCAAAATGAAAAAAAAATCTTGTCAGTGATATTTTTTTGTGGCTGAAAACAACTTGTTAATGAGAGAGATCAAAGATGGCCAGACTCGTCACAGCCAACATGAAGGCCCCAAGTAAAGAAATAATGGCTCAGTACAACAGTGGCGGGCAGCGTGGCACCTCTGGACACATAACTCATCTATACTTGAGACAGTTCAGGAAGGATAAGTGGGTCCAACCCAATACTGGGTCGGTGAACCTAATGAAGTGGCCATTGTGTGTCTCGTCCATCCATCCATCCATCCATCCATCCATCTGTCTGCATATTCAGTACAGGTTCACTGTCAGTCTGGAGCAGTAAACCTGGGACATGGAGCAGGGCACACCCTGTATGGAATGCCAGTCCATTCCGAGTCCCACATGTCTGCAATCACAATAATCGTAAAACACCAAGGTCAATCAGATCACAAAAACAACACTTTCTTTGTGAAATTTGTTGTGCATGTTTCATCTGGGCCCATCTGATGTAAACATATGTAAATGTTTCCCAGGCAGTCGAAGGGACAGTCTGTCTTCTTCATGGCTGACTGGCGTCAAAGCCGGCTCAGCTGTGCAGCTCTCCAAAACGCACTCTGCCCCACGCCTGGCACCTTGCCGGGGATTTCGTCCAGACGCCTGCCTGCGTCACGTTCCCCGTGGCTGGATTAAGGTCCCACACCACCTGCATCTTCAGCGTGTTCTTTCCTAAGCTGTTTTCCTGGATTTTATTTTTTTTTGGTAGCATTCCTGTAATTAGTGTAATGAACTTGTGTTGAGAATCTCGAGTTTCGGATAAGTAATGAGCAAAACAAAGCATGCCTGAGATGGGGGGGGGGACGTGCAGGGACTCGCCCAGTCATTTGCATCCAAGCCGAACGAGTGAAGCAGCCAGATGCAATTAATGCGGGTGTGTGACGCCCTCGTAAACGGCCCTGGGGGGTTCTGGGAGACATCCCGTGCTTCCCAAAGCATTGCGACTCACAAGCCTCTGCAGGTATCGCCTGGATGCCTGGTACCTGTTGCTCTGTTATTGTTTGGACACCGGCATGCACGCTGATTACGTGTACATTCCAATAACTGTCAGTCACAGAATAAGAACAGTCCCAGAGTGGAATGCTGTTGCCAGGTGAAAAAATCTTTGGTAACACAATGTTCTGCCCAGAAAGATCCGCGGAGACAGATTCAGGCAACCAAGTTTAATGGGGATTACGAGAGGGGAGGTCGCGAGCCGTATCCAAGTCGTTGCCAGGGAACAGAAGCCAGAGTCCAGAACGTGATCCGATGTCGTCGTTGAGTAAGGGGAAGCCGAGGGTCGAGGAGCCAGTAGATCAAGCCGGTGACACGGGGGACGAACACGGGGAAATCCACGAGGGGCGTCACAGGGAGGGTGGACGGGCAGGAGGGCAGGCAGGAGTCGAGGAAGGAGCGGGCAGGGCCAGGGAACACAGAACGTAACTAGGGAGACAACGAATAATCAAAGCGCTCAGTACGTACATTACTACAATACCTCGCACCAGACTAATGTAAATATATGACTAGAGCTTCATAAACCATTCATAATGCATAATAAACATGGCTGTAAAGTGTTATGCCTTTTTATAAATAGTTAGCCCCGTTTAAAATGCTTTATAAATGCTTTATTACTAAAAACATTGCTCAAGCGAACTCTACTAGCCTGATGCCTCATTACCTTCCCTGCTCTGATTCCGATACCCAGGTATTCACTGGAAACTGCCAGGTCTACTGCTTGACAGCTGTATGTTTCTGATGTGCAATTTGTTTCACTTGCACATCACTTTGGACAAAAGCATCTGCTAAATCTACAAAATGTAAAATGATATAATACCCAGCCGGCCCCCCCGCTTCCCTCCTTCCCCACCCGTCAGCCCCCCCCCCCATGGCTCCTTTCACGTCAGATCCGACGGGCTCCGGGGGGCTCGTTAGAGACGGGCATAGGGCCGGTACAGGACCTCGCTGCCGTGAAGTATGCATGAGCTGAGATTTGGGGAAGCGCATCCCTCCCCCTGTACCTGAAACATATATGAGTGGCGAACAGTCAGCAGAGAGTCAACACACACAAATACAAACCTGCTGTCCACAAACAGGGGGTGTCAGACAAGGGAATAACCCAGGAGGGGGCAGCAACCCATCACTGCGCGTACACACACACACACATACACACACACACACACACACACACAGAGGAAGCCCCACAAGGACATGGGGAGAACATGCATAGAGCTTAGAAACCACCCCCCCACAAAAAAAAAAAAAACTTCCCTACGTGAACATACCAAAACATTCCTTTCTTTAATATAACATGAAAGAACGTTATGTTGTATTATGACATGCTGACTGTGTGACCTTTTCTTAATCAAGACGCATGTAGATGCAGTGGAGCACAAACATAGCATATGGGTACAGGGAGTGATTAAGCCATACTTTCAGGTAAGAAACCTCCATTTTTGGGGGGCCAGACGTTTTCAGAGCGGCTCTCGCAGTCACCGATCATGTCCAGCTTTCCCTCCAGCAGACTAGAATTCAGGACTTAATAAAAAGTTGCGTGCTCCTGCAGCAAATAGAGTTGGAAAATAGCTTGTGGGAGGAGGTGTCTCTGTAACGTTTCACGAGTGAACAAACTCCCACAAAGTCCCACACATTTATTGATGAAGCTTCTATTAGCAACACTAGCACTAGAAGTCTTGATATGTAGCATTGTAACATTTTTGCATATTTGCATATTGTGTTGTGCTATGGTATGTATCACTTGGTGCTTGGAAACCAGCATCCCATCATATCTTTGATCCAGCCACTGCTAGAAAGATGGAAAGAACAGTGACTTTATTATGGCATTTGCCATTGATCCCAACCTGTTTGTGTACATATGGACACCTTCTGAATTAGCTATTTAGCAAAAACAGAATTGCTTAATTAAATGAATTGCGCCATTCCTGCTGGAATGTCCATTACAGGGCCAAAAACACGCCCTGAACACCAAATATGATGAAGAGATCATTCTGAGGCGGAACACTCTAAAACATTTGCAGGGTTCATGAGAATTTGGACATCTTTCTGAAGCTCTTGGACACAGAATTAAGGTGTGCATGGTCTCTGTCGGATAACTTAAGCTGACAAAATGGTATAGGTGGTGTTTTGGCTAAAGACACACAATGTACTAAACGTGGACATGAGGAGCCTTTAATCCTGATTGGGAGATGAGACAGACACTTGTGACTAGGCAGGCTTCTGTTGAAACACTCCCATCACTTTGGACGTCTGGGATGAAGTGTTGCTGCTATCGGATACTTTGGAAAACATCCACTTGTTGGTTTGCTTCGCAGCTCTTACTGTTTGGGATCAGTTATAAAATGTCAGTTCTGGATGTCCTGCCAGAAGTTGCTAACGTGAGCCTGCTGAGGGTTTGACAGAATTGAATTGTTCGTGTTTTGCTGATGTAGCTCCCAGATCGCCAATGCGGGATGGTAAAATGCCAGAATTCTATCAGGTTAACTTTGCTCCGTGAAGTTCAGAAATGCAAAGACTGGGGCATTTTGATTTGGTTCCATTTTTTTGTAACCCTATGGGCACCAAGAAATATATTCGCTAGGGACGCGGACTTATAAACGAGAGGTCTCTGATTCAGTTACGAAGACGCGTTTTCTATTGTACCCTTGTGTGAGGTACTTAACCTGAACTGATCCTGTAAAACAAACAGGCGTGTTAGTGGGTATGAAGAGGTTGCTTGAGATTAAAGGGTCAGTCAAGCAACTAAATGTGAATGTCAACCATTCGTGCCCACCACCCCATCAGCACATAACCTCCCGGCCACAAAAATCCCCGAAGCTTTCTACCCTCCTCCTTTGGAAAGCAGATACATGTGCAGGGGTCAAAAAAGCCTAAGGAAAGACCCCCCCCCTCCTTCTATTGCCTACTCTGAGCTATTCCATCTTGCCAGCCTGTAGCTGAAGTCAGAAACACCACGCCGAGAACGTGAATTTCTTTTAAATAAATTGCACTCCCCTGCCCCAACACTTGCCGAGTTCATATTCCTCTTGGGAGAACGTTGCCAAGGAAACGCGATTGAAGCATTCTGAGGTTCTCATTCTGGAATGCTACAGTAGAAACAGTTATTCATTTAACTACTCCTACTTTAGACAAGCAGTTTTGGAAAACAAATGGATTTATGATAACTAATTAATGGGTATTGGTACACAGGGTGATATTTAGGCAAGCTAAATTAAACAAATTTAATGTAAATTTGCAAAAGTAAATGTTTTCAGTTGCAAACAGCACACATAGATACAACATAATATGCATAAATATGAAAGTTTCCCAGTTTATATTATGAATTAGATGTATTTTGTTTGTTTGCTCTGAACAAAAAAAAAAAAAAAAGATTCACTAATCACCTTGGACGTTTTGGGCATTTTGGAGAGCTCTCAATAAAAATTTTAGAAGGTGATATCTAATGTTTTCTTTCTCACGCTCACTTCCTCTTTTTCCCGTTGCTGAATGCGGTGACCGTGTGACCAACGCATAGGGAGCTCCTGGCTGACCAATCAGGACAGGTGTGTACACGGGGTTAGGCAGCCGGGGCGAATTCCCGAGACCTTGGCGTGCCTAGAAGCGGCCTTCGGTTCCGCATCGCACAGGCTTGAGGCCTGCCGCGGGGGGTTGGCCATAGTTTTAAGTCTCGTCCTGACAACAGTCTGACCTCTCCGTACTTTTCAGAGTAAAAATGTAACAGACTTCTTTAGTTTTTGTTGCTGGATTTCTATTATTCATGTAATTCTCACAGCTATGTAGGAAACTGTTGAGAGTTTCTTCTTTGAAGTTTTGCTGTATTTCTCTTGTATTCCTCTGTTATTTTATGCAGCATTGCCCAGCTGGTCCTTTTTAACTTAATTTTGAGACATAGCGGACAGCTGGACTGAAGAAGAAAAGAAACTTTAGCGGCCTGCGTCAGGAGAACCTTGTGTTTTCAGTACGATATCTGGGTTATTGGTTTCTTTGTGAATTATGGTATTAAAACTTTTGCCTGATTTAGTTGAATAGTTTGAGCTGTATTACCTTTCTATGTTCATTTAATTTCAAATTTAACTTCATTTCACTTCAAGGTTGATGTTGCGTTCATAAATAAAACCCTCGGTTATTTGACCTGTGCTATTTAGTCAGGTTGGAAGAGCATTCCGACAGAAACCATGGACCCAGAGAGCCAGGAGTCACACACAGACACAGTGACATTACTTTATACTCTAAACACAATGAGTTAGCAGAGGGGCTTGTCCCCAGGCCACGTTCCAACAAGACGCTAGACACAAATAGCTTCACTGAGAATAGGGTAGCTGTTCTGCTACTGGGTATGAAGCCTGGACACACCCAACAAGGAAAGCAACTGTTTGAGCTGCATTGGTAAAATACCACAAAGAAACATGAATACTCTAAAAAATGTAATAATGAATTTTAACCTTGAGAAGCCGTGAAGAACTCTTGGGGTTGAGGTTTTTAGGTGGGTGAAATCACTGTTAATCTCTAAAAAAATACTTGGCCCTTTTTCCCCAAGAGGAGGTGGGGAGCTATTTAGAGATTCCTCATTTGAAATTCAGGAGGGTCTGAGGAAGAAGGTAAAAGCTGTGAACCAGGCTTTGCGGGTGCTTGTGGGAAAAGTGCAACATACATCATTTATATCCCTCAGCCGCACCTTTGTGTGTGTATAATTCCCCCTCCCCCTCCAAAGACCTTGAAATCACATCCCTGTGGGCTTGGCTTTACCATTGACGGACTTCCTCTTAAAGGGGCGGCTGCGGATAGGCTTGTGTGCTGTGAGAATGATAACTACAGGCGGGAGGGTCACATGATGCCCTGTGACCTTCGAGCAAACATCCCCACCCGATGGTCATCAAGTCCAGGACACAGCCAGCAAATTTTCTCACGGCGTTTTAAAACATCGGGTCTCATAAATGGAAATAATTATCTTGTTTAATAGAAGAAAATGGCCATTTAAAAGACATAAGGTCCAACCACAGTGATCTCGTTAAGGAAACACTTCACCTTGAGTATCCAGTAATTAATTAACTTATGTGATACGACCTCAAGTACTTTTCATTTTAAATAGTATCCCTACTGTTTATATCTTGATTCCACTATTTTTTTCTTAAAGTTTGTAGCCCATGAATCAATACATGGTCATGTGGTACAAGAGCAGTGGTGGATCCTGGCCAGAGCATGATGGGAAATCGCCCAGGGCAGCATCTTCTGAGGGGCCCCCGACTTAACAAACCGCCAACCACCTACTACTCCCCCCCTCCCCCCCCAACCTCTCCCCCCAGGTCGAAAACTTATACCAGTGATTTGGGCATTGCCACAAAAGGTAGTTGGAGTGGAGGAGGGGTGGCGGGGGGGGTGATGGTGCAGCTTGCCTGGGGTGTCACATGGGCATGAGCCATCACCAAGATGCCATTCAACGGACACGCCCCACAGGACATAAACCAATGGGAGGCGGAATCTCTGAGCACCCCCCCTCCCACTTGCTGCTCTGCCTAGGGAGGACAGTGCGACATTGAGGCTGCAGGCGAGGAGGCTGGGGTCT